ACATTAGTCGCCGGGACTTTTGGGGTGCAGTGGTCGCTGTCGTCGATTTTGCATGATGGGCGCGTTTCGGCTCTGTTCGCGGTGACGATGATCGCTCTCGTCGTGGAGGGGACTTTCGCTTGATGCGCTGGCTTGAAGCGCTGGGGGCTTCTTTCTTGACCCTACGAGGGCTCCGGTGGGTTGCTTGGTACTCATCACATGCGCGTTTGAGCATATCCCTCTCTTCTTCCCACTTTGGGCCATGTCGCTCCTCTGAGATTTCGTAGTAGGTCTTGTTATCCTTGTTTCGGCGCGTAGGGTTGAAGTTGTCTTGCTCGAGAAGCAGCTGTATGATTTTGAGATATCCGCGACCGATGGCTACTGTCATAGGTGTCTCCGGATGCTTGGACGGGTCGGGGTCGGCCTTTAGGCCACTTGCTAGTAGGATGCTGAGGATGTCATAGTGTCCACCTCGTGCCGCAGCAACTCCACAGGTTATGTTCGGCTTGATGTTGCTGTTGATTAGCTCGCCTACAGCGAGAATATCACCGTCGCCAGCTTTTTCGATCAAGGTCTCGACGTTGAATTCATTGTACAGCAGACGCGAGGCTGTTTTTGCTTGTTTCTGGGATCGCTCGTGGTCGTTTGTGGAAGTGTCTACCCGCCTCTTCATAGCCTCCTTGAGTTCTTTTTCTATTTCCGCCGCGTCTTCATCCTCAGGGTCCAACACGTCGATGGCACGTTGGCCTTTTTTGTTGGAATGATGCGGATTGACCTGGCCTTGGTTGAGCAGCAGCCGGACTACGTCCAGATGCGAATTCTCTACAGCATCGATGAGGGGGGTGTCCCGATCGTGACTCTCGCAATCTGTACGGCAGCCCTTGTTGATGAGATAGCGGACCACGGGAGCCCATCCATGCAGGGCGGCCTTTTGTAAGGGGGCAATACCGGCGTAATCAGCCTGGTCCAGCTCGTCTGGTGCCTCTTCATATGCTTCCTTGACAGCCTCCAGGTCGCCTTTTTCACTTTCTCGAGCGAGTCGGGTAGCGCCGAATCTGTCGATCTTGCGCTGGGGCATGGTGCGTGCGGGCGAGGTCAGGGCACGGTGTGAAGAACGCTTCACTCGGGCGTGTTGCTGGAGATAGGGTGCGGACGTGGGCTGAGGCGATGTTGAGTGGTCCGAACTGGAACCCGCCCAATGCTCGTCGGCTTCTGTCGACAAGGCGAGGTTGGTGACGTCGCGGCGCTTGCGGCCGGTCATAGCTGAGATTGTGGATTGTGTGGACTGGGAGCGCTTGTGAGGGCGGCCAAAAGCGGGTGTGGCGGGTGAATTGGGCGCGTCTTTGAGACCCTCTGTCCTGGCCTTTTGGCGCGGAGGCTCAAAGGACTTTGGGAAGGATTCGTCGCGTAACTTGCGCTTGCGGTTCTCGACGGTCGAAGCACTGCGACCGCGCGTCGTTGTTTGTGTAGGGGAGAGGGCAGATGGGGCAGGCGACTTTCCCGAGTCCTGGGAGCTGCCTTCTTTGATGTGTCGCGCGGCGTGGCTGGTGCCGTTGGCCTTGACATGGCCGTTGCTGGAGCGCAGGCGTTTCGCGTCGTCGGTATCGGCATCGGCATCGGCGCTATTATGATTGTGGTTGGGATTGTTGTTGGGGTTGTCATGGTCGTCGTCGAGGCGCTCCTTCTTGATCAGCTTGTCATTGTCGTCGTCGACAGCGTCAACAGGCTTCTCATCGCGTGACAAGACGACCGTCTCGGCTTCCGACTCGCCCTCTGCATCCTGATCATGGTCTGGATCGGCGGCAGGGCGACTAGACGGGGAGGCTGGCCTCGACGTGTGTCGCGGCGAGCTGGCGTGGGCCGTGGGGCCGTCGTGGTGAAGGCCAGCGGGGGCAGAGGGAGTTAGGAGCGAATGGGCATTGCTGGTCATGACGCATATACCGAGGGAGCAGGACACGGGAGTTCCTGCCTCATGCTGGCTTGCAGAGCAAGGGACGATGGGACGCGCGGGCGGGTCACGAGCGCCCAGAGCTTGTGTAGCGGGCGCAGCAGGCGCAGCGACGCCAGACAAGCTCGGAAGGGGAGACGGCGCGGCAGGCGAGGGCGTCGGGGAGCACAGGGGGGGCGCGGTGGTGATGGGGCCTCGCCGACGTCGTGGTTGCGAGCTGAAGCAGAAGGCGAGCGGTACGGAGAGAGGATGGGAGGCAGCCAGAAGGCGCTAGCCCGCTTATGCCCAATACGCCGGCCACAGCGCCGGCACCACAAATCTTACTTGCACTTGCAACATGCACCGGTTACCTCGCCATCACTAACAAACTAACCATCTCACATCACCACACCGCCCATGATGATGTTGGTAGTCATGCCGATGATGCAAGAATGCGACGTCGCTGTGCTCCTGCGCGCCTTCTACATCGCCGCCTCCCTTCTTGTACTGTAGAACGACACTGCCCAGCCGTCGCCCACGCCAACTGACGTGTGCCTGTCTGTTAGATTCTCGCCATCCACGCTCTTCCTGTTCTGCGCGCCCGCTTCCTGCCCTATGGCTCGCGGGCAACGGGCACGAAGAAGCTGCACAGAGACCAGCAGCAACAGCAACCGAGTGCATTTGTCCGCGCCCTCGACTACGCGGCTGCGCTGCAGGTGCCGCACAACTACTTCACCCACTTCTACCTGACCTCAGTTACCTGCTCGCTCTTCTGGGCTGTCTGGCACCCTCTATGGCAGGCGCAGGCGCTGCAACAAGCTGTGTGGGCCCTCTTGCTGCTCCAGGGCGTGCGCCGCATGCTCGAGTCTTTCGCCTACATGTCGTCCAGCAAGAGCACCATGTCAGTCGCCCACTGGTTTATGGGCCTGGTCTTTTACCTCTCCATCAACATGGCCATCTGGGTTGAGACGCCCGCCAACCACGTCATTCAATGGGCCCTCGTACCTGCCGTCGTTGTTGCACAGGTGCTGCAGCACTATTACCACGCCTATCTCTACCGTTTGCGCACTCAAAACACTGACTATCAGCTGCCGTTGCATCCTCTGTTCCCCAATTTGCTTTGCCCCCATTATACCTGCGAGGTCGCCATCTATGCCCTCTTGTCCATCATTGCTGCTCCAAACGGTAGCATACTAAATCCGACCCTGGCCTGCGGAACCGTATTTGTTGCTACCAATCTCGGCGTAACGGCCGTGGGCACAAAGGAGTGGTATGTCAATAAGTTTGGGCTCCATAGGGTCAGGTCGCGGAAAAGAATGGTCCCTGGGTTATGGTAGGTTTCTTTGCTCGCGCCGACTAGCCGTTACCATCTGGCAATACCCTCACTACTGTACACACAGCTTTTTTTCAAAAAAAAAAAGAAAAAAAATCCAAGGGTCCTCCTGACCGCAAACTATGACGGCCAAGATCTGGGCTGATTTTTCTTTTATACATCCGCTTGCCTCCTTGTCATTTTGTCTAATTACTCGGGAAACACTCCTGTTTCCTTCGATCAGCCGATGTGTGAATTGCCTGTCTACGCTACTTCGAATTTAACCTCTAACGAAGCTGGGTCGGTCAACGATTCGGCTCTCAACAACCCATTGATATTTACGTACAGCACATGGCAGGGTATAGACATGTCAAAGATAAAGAGTCGGAACTAAACAAAAAGATGAGAACGGTCTGGTATCAAAGGCTTTTGCTAAGAGCGATTGTTTCGTCTGATGCTGTCTTAAGAGTAAAGAAATGGATGCGTATTAGTTATTTCGAGTTATTGAAGAATCAGTCCTGTCAGACTGCATACTATGAACTCCTCCATGGCCAATTTGAGGCGCTGCGGGTTCAGTGACAAGGATGGGGTTTGCGAACTACAAAACGCCCGAACCCCTAGGATGTCATTACGCTCCTTCATACGCCAATTCGCCCATTCAGCCTGTGTCTTATCCAAGTATATTCTCAGATTAAGCCAATAGCATACCATTTCATGCGGGCAAATCATGTCTCAGAAGCTCGAGGTACTGGGAGAATACGGGACGACCTGGGATACTTGTAGAGAGTATGTTTTGCATTATTAGTGTTCAGAATATTGAACGATGGGCGCAGAAGATTAGGAGTGCGAATACCGGTATACAAATTGTCGGAACATGCGCGTACAGCCAGCCCGGCGAGTTTTTCCGGGCCGGAAGCTTGGACCACTAGTTAGACCAAGCTTCCCGCTTAGCTCGCAACCGTACATATGGAGATCTCTCCATCCAGCTCTTGCTCACTACTAATCAAATACTATACACTTTGTTCGTTGCAACGACTGCTAGTATTCGACACCTTTGCCGTGTCAACACTGATCAGTGGTTGATATGACCACAGATCGGCAAGACATCTGTGTACAGAGGGCCCATCAGCATTGCGTCTGTGTAGCCTAGGTAAAGAAGCGACTCTTAGTACGACCTTGTATCGTATTAAGTAGTGCGAAGAACAGATCCGCCCACGAGCGTTCGTTTCGGCTGACGGAGTCTGAAAGAGATCCAGAACTAGGGATCTGCGTCAACTACGCACCAAAACCCGACAAAATCACCGGCGAGCAACCCCGCCACAGTCAACCCCGCGACGAGCGACCTACGGGCAATCTACAAGCGACCCACAGGCAACCCCGCGACTCACAAGCAACCCACCGGAATCATGCCTACAAGCATTACTACCCGGCAATGGTACCCAAAGGTGTACGCGGACGAGTACACCAATACCCAACTCGACATTGCAACCGATGCTATTATCCCTGGTCAGATAAGCACTATTGCTATCGACTGGATGATACAGGCCGAAGAGAACGGAGACTTTGACATCATGCTTATTCAAGACTTCCAAGAGACATTTGCAGGATGGTCTCTCAATCATTTCAATGCAATGGACATGCGAGTCCGTACAGCAGTCAAGAACATACTCCGCGACCGAGGTGTCTACATCGAGAAGAACAGCCGCAACACCATCGCACAACAGCTAGTCAATCTCCTTAGCCTTACACGCTCTCCCGACTGGCCCATTGACGAGCTCAACGTTATGCGACTCAACCCAGACTTCAAATGCCGACAGATAGCAGAAGAGGCACAACACGCTAGAACAACTCAACAAAGCAGCAACCCGCCAACTCAAAGCGCCAGTATAAACTATGCGCCATCTCCTGCTCAGGCAAACGTAACAGCCCTCACCAACCTCGCAAAGGTATACAGTGAGGAGGAGAAGTTCAGTGGCGACAAGTATGACGTCCTCGACAACAAGATAGTCATCTTTAAAGACCATTGCGAAAAGGTTGGCATTACGACACCAGCACAGTACAAACTTGCAGTCTCTACTATGCTTAGAGGCAAGGCCTCAGCATACTACTACAACTACATTGCTCCACTCAACCTAGACTACGACAGCATTATCAAGAAACTAGGGGAGTACTTTCACACGAGCGAGAACTACCAAATGTTCTTAAGTGAGTGGCGCACCATTATGCTGAAAGACGTCATCGCCAACAACCCCGACAAGACACTCACCCAGTGTCTCGACATAGTCATCGACAAGCTCCAGCTGCTGCACCAGGCAATGACTCAACAGAATGGACCAAGCGAGCTCGCTCTTACAAGCCAACTTATTGCTGCCTGTCAAGGCGTCGAAGCATGTAGCGCAGTCCTTATCCGCCCAGCTTCAACCTTTGAAGCCGTTGCCTCAGAACTCCGCAACGCTGTCGGCAACTGGACGCGCTGCCATCCGCGCTCACAGTTCAACTGCGAGGAGTCCGATCCGAGCGAAGACGCGTTCTACACAAACCGCCGATACAACCGCAACGATAGCGGACAACGCGACAAACCGCGCAACTATAGCGCACAAGGCCAAGGCGAAGGATCCCGCAACTACAACCGCGGAGGATCCCGCTTCCAACGCAGCTTACCCCGATCGCAGTACAACGATGATACACAGCGCCGCAATAACAGGAAGTGCTACGTCTGTAGCAAGCCAGGCTGCTGGTCAACTCGTCACTCTAGAGAAGAGCGAAAGGAAGCGCAACAACGTTTCCGGACGTACGTGCAGACCCGCAACGTCGATATAGACTACGAAGCTTTCCTTGCCCAGTTTGAGGGCATTGACCTTAATGACGACGACGATAACGGCGGCACGGACGAAGAACTCGACGCGTTCTTCAACAACGACCAGTTTGATACAAAGCACCAGTTTCTCACTGCTACCTGCGGTGCAGTTGATGGAGGAACAATGGTACGCAACCTCAACAACGCCGCCGCTCTACACGCGATCACGAAGATCGACCCATACGCCGGCAACGACATTGCCAAAGAGGCAAGCCACCTCTTCACACTCGATCACCGGTACGGGCGCGAGCAGTTCCAAGGCATCATGCCAGACACCGGCGCGGCCGGAGTGTCTACAGCAGGCAAGCAACAGGTTACAGCGTTACACCGCATCCAACCGTTATGGATTGACAAGTCAACTGCTGGCCGACACCGGATCCGATTTGGGGATAACCCGGAGTGTGTTTCTATCGGCGACGTCAACGTCCAGACACCCGTTGGAGTGATTAGGTTCGCTGTAATGCCTACTAACACACCGTTCTTACTCTGTCTTGATGACATGGACCGCCATGGCATCTACTTCAACAACGTCGACAATACGCTAGTTCATCAGTCCAAGGAGTACCCAATTGTCCGCAAGTGGGGGCATCCATGGCTTCTTCTCAACAAGCAGGAGACTGCCACCCACTATCTCACCGAAGGAGAACTCCAGCAACTCCACCGACGTTTTGGGCATCCAGCCGCCGCACGCCTCTACAAAGTCCTAGTAAAGGCAGGCCACGACGACATTGACAAGACGCTAATTGATGAGATTAACAAGTTCTGTCATCAGTGCCAGATAACTGCTAAAGCACCAGGCCGATTCCGCTTTACTCTACGCGATGACAACCTCGA